ACTAAGAACACACTGTAAACATACTCTGCTACAAGTAAAAGTACTAATACCACACTGTAAACATACTCTGCTACAAGTAAAAGTACTAATACCACATAGTAATAATATCACTAGTAGTACTTGTATGAATAAACGCAGGTATGTGGACTCACCTTCTGCATTGAGCAGTTTTCTGTCTTTGTGCAGGTCTGTGAGGAACAAGCTGTTCACCAGAGTGGATTTACCCAAACCAGACTCACCTGTAACACAGGTACAGGAAGTGATCACATCCTACACATCAAGATCAGGATTTTCAGAATAAAACTCCCATATCGAGACACTTTCATTTAATTTTACTCAAATATGAAATCGATGCTTTCCAGACTTTATAAAAACACGATACGCCACAAATGGGTCTGAAAAAATGTAAATCACATTATAATAATAATAATATAATAATAATAATAATGCATTTCACTTCAATAGCACCTTTCAAAACATAATTACAAAGTGCTTCTAACCAGAAAAATAAAATCACAATAAAATAAAATCGTGACAAAAAAGAACATAACAGTGATAATAAAATAAATAAAAACAAGTATATGATAAGATGTTAGAATAAGGAAAAATAGAGTTGATTATTAAGTAAAAGCACATTTTAAAAAGAGTGTTTTTAACAGATATTTAAAAAAAGACAAACATGTGACAAATCATTGCACCTTATTATAAAACAATCCAGCAGTTTTCACTTAATGGACTCAAAAATAGTTTAAAACAAAACTAGTTTGAAGCTCCGGGGGCTTCAAACTATTATTTTAAACATAATTAAATCAGGATAAGCTGTCATAATTAATCCTGTTCCTCAAGATGAAACATTCATATTGTAGCAGAGCCAGATCATTTTCACAGGACACTTTGAAACGTGTGAACACGGAGCCGGTGCGGAGGAGTGATGGTGAAAGCTGCTTCACAAGATCCACATCCTGCAGATGAAGTACTTTGGGCTCCATTAAAGGATTAATATGTAACTTAAAGTGTGTAAAAACAACTAGACCTGTGTTATGTATGTTGTTAAGTTGTGTTACCTTATCTCAAATGTTTACAACCATTTTCAAACATAGAAATCTGCTAACGTTAGCTCAGCTTGTTTCTCTGATAACGAGACGTCTGATGCTAACGTTAGCTTGTTTCAATGTCTTCGAGCTGTGGAAGAAGAACTCAAAACTTTGACTTTAAAATAAAGTATCTTCTTTGAGTCAAAGTACCAAGCTCTGTTTAGTTTAGTTGATTCCATGTATCTGTCAGGAACCATCTCATATAGAGAACAGGTGTGTTAAATAGATTTACAAGCTAACATCAGTTCCTGTGCAGGTAGACACAAATACAACTAATCAGCTTTCAACAGTGACGAGTGAAGACGTGACGTCGTGTCTCACCTGCCACCATGAGGGTGAAGTCAAATCCCTTCTTCACCGACTTCCTGTGCACCTGGTTGGGCAGCGTCGCAAAGCCAACGTAATCTTTTTCCTACAAACAAGAAGACACATGAACATGTTTAAGAATGTTTTTGTTTTTATACAGTTTTAACATTTTAACATGGAGGTCTGTGGCCGCTGACTCGCTGCTGGAGGAACCACAGCTTTTGGTTTCATTTTTCAAACTAAGCTAAGCTGTGATGCTAATTTACAGTCGCTAACTTATAGGAATTAAGAGCTTCTATTTGTCCGAGTAATATCAGTATTACTCGGACATTTTAAAGTATTTTAAAGTCCAAAAATATAGAGACGGCAGCTAACTTAGTGAGTTCTGCTAAGCTAACTACCGTAAGCTAACAGCGTTGTTTCTATGGTACAATGCAGTAATACACAGTCAGAATGCAGTAATACACAGTCAG